AAGGAGACGTGTCACTCGCGGCGCTGCCGGCCCAGTCCCGGCCCCCGACGGCCTGCCCGCGCGCCGCCGCCGCTGCAGGGCCCGGCCAAGTTTCTTACCTGCAGCCGGAGACGCGGGAGGAAGAGCGAGAGGGCAGGAGCCGCCGCCGCCGCCGCGGAGCCGGGAGAGAGGAGTTGACCGAGCCTCCGCCGAGAAGCCGCCGCCGAGCAGCTGCAGACGCCACGACCCCGACGCCGCTCGCCCCGTCCGCCGTCCGCTCCGGCCGCTTGCTGGCTGCGTGCGCGCGTGTGGAGTCGTGGCACTTTCTGCCTTGGAGCTGGCGAACGGCCCCCTCCGCCGGGATCGCCGCCTCCTGCCTTCCCCACCCGGGCCAGCCATTCATCGGGCTGCCTCCCCCTATTGGCCCGCGGCCCGCCACTCCGCCGGCACCCGCCAGTCAGGGCGCGGGAGACCCGCCTGCGGCGCCAGCCATTGGGCGGAGAGGCGGGTCTCCACCTTGGCCAATGGGAGAGGGGAGGAGCTGCGGCGAACCGCGGGGGGCGGGGCCGGGAGGGGCGGGGCCGCGCATCTCGGCGATCGGGCCTGCGCGGGGGTGGGGCCGAGTTGCTCCGCCTACCGGGGGGGTTTCGCCGGCAGACCCCGCCCTCCCTGGGCCCGCGATCATCGTTGCAGGCGTAGACCCGCGGGCTCTGACCGAGGGCAGGTCTTTGGGTCCCGTCGGGTGGCAGGAAGTTCGAATCCCGGCAGCCCCGGGCCTGCGACCCCGGACCCCGCTGTGTTAAGGTGGCGGTGGATGTCGCCCTGAGCAGAGTTGCGCAACCCGCAAACAGCCGGAGCAAATGCTTTATTGTATCCCAGCTAACTTCTGCCGTGTCCTGTAGAGTCGCTATGAGTCGGAAATCGACTATGGCAATGGGTTGCATTTTTTTTTTAACTTCGCCGAAGCAGCGACCCTTCCGGTCCCCCGGTGTAAGGCTAAGCTCCGCTGGGGGTCAGCCCCGGGAGGGCAGAGCTGAATCCCTGTCTTCAAAGAGATTGCAGTCAGCACCAGGAAGAGTTTCTTAGAGTATACGGAGGAATTAGGGTGGAAGGGCCAGAAGGTGTACAGGAGATGGAGAGATGCACCCATTTTTAGGGAGGGAAAAACTGAGACACAGGCTGTTTGAGATACTTGTCCAAACCACACTTGGCAGAGTAAAATTACAGTCCACCGGCGTTTTACTCCATGCAACAGAGGGTGCCAGGTTCTGGCCTAAGAAAACGTACCTATTTCCCAGAAAACTGATCAAATGGAACTTCTTCGTCATGTGACTTTTCAACCACTATCTGACCACACTCTCTTTATAACCAAATAAGTATTTCAATTAAAATAATTTTAGGCTTGTTTTTAACCGTTATATCAATGTCTGTAAGAGCTAAGCCTTTGAACATAAACCAAAGCTTGCTTCTTTGAAATTAAGGTTTCTGAGAGACCAGAAAAGTTGCAGCAACCTGATCGTCCCTACACCACGTCCCTGGCCTTCTGTGGCTGCAGAATTTGGTGTCTAATACGAATCTTTTTCTTGAATATGACCCATCCATCCTTATTTGTCACTGGTGCTGTATTTGTTGTTTTTAGAAAGATGTGAAATATGTAAGTCCTGAGAGAATAAGTAGTCCTGGTGGTGCAGTGATTAAAGTGCTTGGCTGCTAATTGAAAGGTCGGTGGTTGGAACCCATCAGCCGCTCTGTGGCAGAAAGATGTAGCAGTCTGCTTCTGTAAAGATTCACAGCTTTGGAAACCTTACGGGGTGGTTCTACTCTGTCCTTTAGGCTCAACTATGAGTCGGAATCGACCTTGACAGCAGTGAGTTTGGTTTTTTTTGGCTCGGGGTTAAAATTAAACTGTTCATTCTCGTTTTTAATCTCAGCAGTTCCTTAGCACATTAATGATTAATCCACGGGAATTAACCTGGATTAGCTTTCTTTTCAATGGTGAGTCTGGTTGGAAATAAAAATCAAGAATCCCAGTTTGTAGGGTAAGCCAGAGTCCCTGGGTGGTGAAAAAGATTAAGCACTCAACTACTAGCCAAAAGGTTGGCCATTCGAACCTACCCAGAGGCGTCTCTGAAGACAGGCTTGGTGCTCTGCTTGCAGGAAGAAGCCTTGGCAGAATGCTGAGTGCCAAGGGGTATAGAAGTGGCCAGAACAGTGTGTACTACACAACTGTGACCCCAGCCCCTGCCACAGTGCTTGCACAGGTAAGAGCGTCGGTAAACATATGTTCCGTAAATACTGTTAAATGAATTATAGGATTACAAAGTCCCTAGGGGTGAGGGGTGTTTACAAAAAGGGTCTCCCTGTTGCCTCCCATAATTCAACATTTGCTTTGGCCTCAATACAACATGCTTTTCAATACGTAAGCATGGTCTGGCCTTGGCCTGTCTCCCTGCCTGCCCTTGTCCTCTCGCTGCCACCCCCTGCTGTGCTGTGGAGACCCCCGTCATCCTCACCCACCTTTGAGCTCCCTCAGGTGAGTCAGCCCCACCCCCAGGGTGGCCTGTCTTTCGCAGCCCCTGATGCCGCCTGCAGACCCTCTTCCTGCGCTCTGCTCAGCCTCTTCAGTGTGTTACAGCCTTGCCCTCTCCTGAGCTGTACCTGGGAACCACCACCACCAGGACTAGATGGGTAGGGAATGCTGGTTGGGTGAACAGGGGTCTTCCTCCAGGTTCAGAGCGGCTGGCTCTGCTGCTGTCTTCTGCAATGAGGCCCAAACCCGTTGCCGTCGAGTCAATTCCAACTCATAGCTACTAAATCCTCAGCCTTCCAATTGTCGTTGTTAGTTGCCATAGAGTTGGCCCCCGACTCATGGCGATCCCATGCACAATGGAACAAAACGCTGCCTGGTCCTGTGCAGTCCCCATGATTGGTTGTGGATCAGGCCATTGTGATCCATAGGGTTTTCATTGGCTGATTTTCAGCAGTAGATGGCCAGGACTTCCTTCTTAGTCTGTCTTAGGCTGAAACCTGTTCAACATCATAGCAACACACAAGCCTCCACTGACAGACAGGTGGTGGCTGTGCATGAAGTGCATTGGCCAGAAATCAAACTTGGCTTCGGGCATGGAAGCTGGAATTCTACCACTGAACCACCACGGCCCCCAGCCCTTCAGTAGCACGAGAGGGATCCCAGGTCACACAGTCCAGCCTCCAGGTCACATCTTCTCAGTACCAGCCCCAGGCTACAGCCTAGGAAACAGGTCCCTGTCATCCCCCAAATGACAGTGAGCAGCTGTCACATGTCAACAGGTCATTTCAACACCATGTGGGCAGTGCTGGCGTGAAGAGAGGACTGATGTGATCTGGGAGCCCTGGACAGGGGAGGTACCCAGATGAGAGGAGCAGCGGAGGTTGAAGGAGAAGCGGAGTCAGTCAGGCGGGAGAGCGTGTGGAGGGCACACCTGGTGAGGGAAGAGCAGGACGAGGAGCAGCGGAAGGAAACAGCATGCTGCAGGACGTCCAATGCCTGCGGGCGGGTAGTGTCCAAGCCTCAGGGTGAGGCAGTGGGCAGGAGAGATTGGAAAGGTGGTCAGGGAACGTTTTGGGCGGATGTAACTGTTCCATATCTTGATTTATACTGATGGCTGCACGACCGTGGTCTCAACTCATCTAATTGTACATTTTAAAAAGGTGAATGTGGTTTGTAAGCAAATTATACTTCAATAAACCTGACTCAAGAAAAGGAACGTATTAGCTTTTATTTGTGTATTAAAAACAAAGGCGTTCTTATTAGGAAAAATTAAACATAAAAGAATAATTACCCAGTATGGTCCATTAACTCATGCCAGTGCTTTGCTTTCTATTACTAAATTGCAAATATTATTTTAAAAGATCAGGCAGAAAGGCAAGCACATATTGTATCTTAGAGTTTAAAAAGAGGTTTTGCTTTATCAATAACTATGAAGGGATGATAAATGGTAAACAGAATAAAATGTGAGAAAAAAGTAATCATAACAATACATAACATTTTAGGTCTTATCATGTGCCAGGCACTGTTTGAGATGTCCTACAAATACATAAAGTTATTTAACCTTCATAATGACCCTTTAAGGGAGGTATAGTTATTGTCTCCATTTTAGAAACGAGAAAAATGAGGCACAGAGAAGTTAAGTAACCTACCCACTATCACAAGGCTAATGAGAGACGGAGTGTCTGGCCCAGGGCGGGGGAGGTACACTGTTCCCGCTGGAGGTATTTCAGCCTGATCCTCTGGTGGTGACTCCAGGAAGGGTTTGCCATCAAGTGAAAGCCACAGTCACTCCCTCAGAACTCTCTGGTGGGTGACTGTATGCTGAGGTTGGGGACCCACTGGGTTGGAAGATCATCAAAATAGCTCAGGTGGGAGGTGACAGGGCCAGAGGTGGATTAACCGGTAAGCAAGTTATGTACGGGCTTACTTGTGCTTACTTACTAATCTGTAGTGCACAATTTCTCATGGGTCTCACCACATCAAGGATGAATAAGTAAGCACAAGTAAGCCCATGTGTACCTTGCTTATTGGGTAATCTGTCCCTGGACAGGGCACGGGCGGGGTGGCAGGTGCGAGGGTCCTTCACAGGGGGTGTTTAGGAAGAGAAGGTGTGGAGGCTTGCAAACCAGGGGGTGTGAAAGAGAGGAAGGAGCCACCTGTGAGCCCCCCATTTCTGGCCTGAGCGACAGGGAGCATGCTGGTGTCAGTGCTGGGCAGGACATGCGCGAGCAGGAACAGGTGGGAGACAGGAGTGGGGGAAGTGTATTCTGTCTGACATTTTGAATTTCTGGAGTCTGAGGGAAGTCCAGGTGGCAATATTGCTTCTATGGATCTCAAGCTCAGGGGCTGAGGCCAGGGTCAGTGGTACAGTTTGGAAACCTAAACACACCAGTGGTGGCCCAGACCTCCAGGGTGGAGGTGACCATGCACAGCATATAGAGCTGCAAACAGCATGCAGATGGGGACAGGAGAAATCTAATGGCTGAGTCACAGACAGAGAGAGAAAAACCAGCAGAAGCATCTGTATCAATCAACTTTTACTCTGTGTTTTGGATTGAATTGTGTCCCCTCAAAAGATATATTGAAATCCCAACCCCTGTACCTGTGAACATGACCTTGCTTGGGGATAGGGTCTTTGAAGATGTTATCAGTTAGGTTAACACGAGGTTCATACTGGAGGAGGGTGCGTCCTAATACAATCTGAGTTGTGTCCTTATAAAAGAGGAGAAGAGACACAGAGACAGGGAGATGAGAAGGACGTCATGTGACACTGCAGCTGCAAGCCAAGGAATGCCTGGAGCTACCGGGAGTTAAGAGAGAGGCA